GCCCCTTCATTAAATGGATAGGAGTCGTGACAGATGTTAGCAAGATGGTGGCTTTAGACTTACTAATGTATTACTTTATAAGTCTTTGTAAATAATTAATAAATGGTTTCATGTGTCGCCCGGAATTAGACGCTAGAGGTCATCCTTCTTTTTAAAAAAATCTACCACGCGGCAACTGGCTGTTTTATATATGATGATTGATCTCCTTCTAACTGGTTGTTTTATATATGACGATTGATCCCCTTGTATCGGTAAGGTTGTCTCTCCATGCATGCTTGATTAGTTAGTCAACTAAGGGTATCTCCAACAGCGACCCTTAAATCTCCCGCATATGTCCGGACTGCGTTATTCGGACTGTGAAAACCATTCAACACGGTCCTATATCGGTCCGTGGCGCGATTCAGACGCGTTTTTCTCTTGCAAATTGGAGACAAACGGGGGAGGGGTGGGGTTGCGGGAGTCTGGACTGTTGTCACGCCCGCTTCTGACCGCCCTGACACACCCAAAACCCTTCCCCGCCGGTGCGCGCTTCCCGCAGGTCGCCCAACTTCTTGCATTCACGCTGGTCTAGAGCGCACCTCTTCACGTTGAAGGCGGCTCAGCGCGGACACAATCTCTCATTGCCTCTGCCATTGAAGCGGCACATCGGCCGAGGGCGCCGCCCACTGCACGCCTAGCTGAACACGCCTCCTTGCTTCATTCAAACGCCTCCACAAACTCGCGTGGAAGCCGAGAAACCTACTCCGGCCACATTGTCCGTTCATGAGTGGACCTCATTAAACGTAACGTCGGGCAAGCTCCTCCCGTCTACCCTCTATTTAAACGAGGCCAGGCACCGGGCAAGAATCGCACCACTCCATCGCTCCCCATGTCCTCCTTCACCATTTTCTCCACTCTTTCGATCGCATCCGACGAGCTTGAAGAGCAGTTCTTCGGCGTAAAAGCCGGCTGGGTGGCCCCCGAGCCCGCCAGATACGAGCGAGGCAGCTCGCTGCTCCACCTCCCTCGCCTAGCCCGACAGAGCCATTTACCACCCTAAGCTGGCGCGTGGTTCAGCAACTCGTCGCTCGAAGCCAGCTCGTGGAGGAGTGGCAAGTTGATCCATCCCGGCACAACGGAGAGCACGATGGCACATGCATCGCCGCCTCCAGTGCCTGCGATCGTATCATCCGCCGTCGACGCGCGCGTAGCCGCGCCATGCACGCAGAGAAAGAATCCGGCTACATGGATGTCAACGAGGTCGCGGCCAGCATGTCCGCATCTGCCGCCATCATCGAGGAGAAGTAGAACACGGGTGGCTACCGCCGCTTGTATCCCATGAAGGCCAATGTCGGTGCATCGCCGGCCTGTACAGCCGGTGACATGTCCAGTCTTCATCTCAGACCATGCTGGACACC